GAGTCTGTGCTTGTTGGGCCATTAAGCAACGATCTCCTTAAGAAGAGAGGGCGAACCTGGTCAGGGCAGTGCTCACGCATTTAGGGCGAAGGAAACACTGCCCTTGCCAAGAGCGTCACACTCACGCCTCCTCTCCGCAACTCACTGGCAGGATAATCGGAGTCCTCTCTCAGCTGTACCACTTGCTCGCAACGTGCTCCTCAGTTTCCTCATCTGAGTAAAGGGGAAGCTACCCAGTCACTGTCCTACGGAACAGCAGGGAGGATGAAAACATGTGCCTGGCACATCCACCATTGGGGAAGCGCTGGCTATTAATACTACTGTTGCTAGGTTATTAGCTCTCCTCAGATACACCCCAAAAGCCTCTTTGCTTCTGAGAGCCCAGGTACTCCCGTGGCTCCAACGCGAAAACACCTGGCCAGCGCCAGCTGGGCCACAGGCCTCCTCCAACCCTCGTGAGGTGAGCTGAGCCTGCAACACCACGGTCACACCTTGGAGGCAGAGGTGGCTGCCGCCATCAACTCGCCCGGCTGCCGTGGCAACCGGCTATGGGAATAGTATCCTGCTGTGGGTAGTGAGAGGGGCGCGCTCTTGCAGCCCAGCTCACTAGCCGTGGTATTTTTTTCGAATTGTTCGGCTCTTCCCCCACCTGGAAATGCCCGGTTCCCCCGGGCCACTGGAAGAGAGCGAGCTGCTTCCTCACTCATGTCTGGCGTCGCCTCTGTGAGCAAAGGCTCTCCGGCCTGTCGGCGACTGCATGGCCGCCAGTTCCTGCACACACGGGTCAAGCACCTCCTTCGTGCCGGGCCCTGCACTGGACAGTGGAGGGTACAGGGACACGCAAAATGTGACCCCTCCCCATAGGAGGTCACACTCCAGTGTGGCTCCCAGGAGGTTTGCACAGACGTGTGAACTCTGAAGCTGAGAGTGTCAGGAGCTGCTAACCTAACTCCCTCCACTTATCAGCAAGGGCAGTGGTGCCGGTGAGGTTAAGTGGCTGCCTCGAGACCAACAGGGCAGGCACATCTGGAATGGGACTCAGGGTCTGGTGACTGCCAGATGAGTGACTCTTCCACCAGGCAGCCCCATGGGCGCACCCCTTCCCATCAGTCATACCTAGCCCCGAGAAGTATCTCTGGTCCAACAGTGTATAGCAGACGGGCTGTGCCTGGCCCAGAGCTTCCAAGGCTTGGCCTCGATGGAACTTCTCAGACAAGATGTCGCAGGTGGGCTGGACCACGGGGGACGAGCCCCAAGACATCTGGCAGTTATAGAATGCCAGGAAGCCACCGCCACCAAAGTGCAGGACCAACCTGGAAAGAAAGAACAGATCAGACGTACACACAGTTACCACAACATCGTCAGATCACACGAACATAGACACCACCTGGGCCAGGTCACATGGACACAAAATTACCACAGTATCTTTGGATCATGCACACATACAGACTCCACTCAGGTCAGATCATATGTACACAAGACAGTCAGATCATGTATACATACAGACACCACTCGGGTCATCATATGTACACACATTTACAGTATCATCAGATCACGTGTACATACAGACACCACTCAAGTCTGATCATACGTACACATGGTTACCACAATATCGTCGGATCATGCGTACATACAGACGCTGCTCAGGTCAGACCTTACGTACACACAGTTACTGCAATACTATCAGATCATGTGTGCATACAGACACCACACAAGTCAGATCATACATACACACGGTTGCCACAGTATCATCGGATCATGCGTATATACAGACGCCACTCAGGCCAAGTCAAAGGTACACACAGATGGTCCCTGGCTTATGCTGGCTTAACTTGTGATTTTCTGACTTTATCACGGTGCAACCGTGACACACGTTCAGTAGAAACTGTACCTCTGACACCCACGTGACTGCTGCTTTTCACTTTCAGCACAACATTCGATAAAGTACATGCGACAGTCAACACTTTGTTATGAAACAGGCTTTGTGGCAGATTATTCTGCCCAGCGACAGGCTGATGCAAGTGTGCCCAGCACATTTCATGCAAAAGTATGATGTTCAGTGGGTTAGGCATATTCAATGCATTTTTGACCTCTGATGTTTTCGATACTCTTCCATATAGAAAGAGCACATAATGCTCATACTACTTATTTAAAAGACCAACAAAGTAGATAAAATTCAGGCAAGCCTAATTTTAAAAAAAGAGACAAAGCAAAATATAAAGCATGTAATGAGAAAAGAGACATAACCTGACAAGAAGAGATTTGAAAATAAGGGAATGAGAGGTGCTGACTCGACGGTGACCAGCCTGATAACCCGGGGTGAGGCTGCCTGACGGAAGGGTCTTTCAGCTCCTCTAGCTGGCGGCTAATTCAGGAATCAGCAGACACCAGCCACGGACGAAGAGTTCGCTGCAGGTGCTGAGAAAACTCTCCTCACTCATCTGAACATCTAGGAATGACCCTCTCTCTTCCTCTGGATACTTTCTGGTGTGGATATAAAGCCTGGATCTGTGGCAGCCTCTTGCTGCTGGTCTCAGAACAATTCCAGTGTGTGGATACGTGCAAAGCCAGGAGAACAATAGGAACAGGAAGCCAGAGCCCTGGAACTGAGTGACCCCAAAGCTCAGCCTCCTTCTGAGCTTCCACTTATGTGGGCCAAAAAAAGTCTCCTCACCGTTTATGCTACTCTGAGCTATTTTTGCAGTCCGAAGCATCCCATAAGTACCTACGGCATACCACTGATAAAGACTATAGTTCTAAAACTTTAGAAAACAGGAGTTGTGTGTCTTTGGGCATAGAAGGATTCCTCAGTAAGAGGGGAAACTTCAAAGCAACCGAGACAAGACCAACCATCGACTACAAGAAAACTAAAAGTCCCAAATGCCGAAAAGCATCATAAACACTATCAAAGTACACAGGACAGACACGAAACAATACTGGCAACACGTGTCACAAAGTCTAAAAACACCCAAAAGACCCAACAAATTGATAAAAAGCACACAAACAACCCAACGTTAGTGAGAACGCAGCGAGCACTACGGTAAGGCCACACAAATGCACAGCCCTAGGAACGTCCATTCTCTTCCAGCAGCAGTCGGCCCTCTGGGAATTGATACTCAGGAAATATCCCTAAACACAGATAGAGTTTTATGCACAAAACTGTCATTCTCAATACTCTACTCGTAACTTAAAAACTGGCAAAATCCGGTCCCTAAGCCCGGAGCACCCTAGTCAAGCCATCAGAGGTTTCTCAGGGAGCTTGCACCCTTCAGTGCCACGTTTGCTGGGACAGTTCTCCGGCTTTCCAGGCCACCCCAGGCGTGTGGTCCCTCCTAGGTGCAGGCCACCATCCACTCTCTGGCATGGGTGGATGTGGAAGCAGCTTGTCTCTCTGAGACAGCAGGCCCGGGGGTGCGGGTTAGATGTTCACCTGAGTGTGACCCCACAGCCCAGCCCCAAGTGGGGGTCCCGTGACACTGCAGGCCTCGCGGGGCTGCCGACGGCCGCAGCAGTACCTTGGGGAAGGGTCCTTCCAGTCACCCCTCTTGTTGGCTTTCTTAGCTCTGGAGAACTCGTTCACCCAGACGCTGCCGAACAAGCCAAAGCTGACCTGCAGCCACCTCTCAGCTCCTTCTGCAGGGAGGTCGGCCCCCAGACGCCCCGGAGCGTCCTCTCCACAGGGAACAACAGGCTGCTCAGGCCCTGAGGGTCCCTCAGGGGCCTTCGGCTTTGGGTCTGCGGCGCCCTCCTTCCACGCTCCTTTCTGGGGAGGCTCTAGCGACGGACCGTCACCAGGAGGCCCTGTTTCTTCATCTGGATCAAATCTAAGGAACAGCTTCTTTCCATGGACCTAGGGACAGAGAGGGGAAGGGGGTGTGCAGACATTTATTCCACTGCCCGTTCTTCCTGCTCGCCTCCCCCCGAGGTCTTCCCAAGTGGAGTCTTCAGGCCCTGCCTTTGGTCTCGTGCAGGCAGTCAGTACTTGGTTTTCAGTAACTGGAGCAAGTGAAGGAATCAGTAACGAAACGGACCCCTGCGACACGGCAGGGGCACCCTGAACACCCTGAGGGGAACTGCTCCCATGTTTTGCTCATGGATTAGCTAAGAAATAAACTCAGATGGTCATTCTTTCATTCAATTTGTAACACATTTTCCTATGCTACAAGTAATCAGCATGCACGCGTGTGTGAGCGCATGTACACACACACAAGTGGACAGCAGCCAAAGACACATGCTGTAAAATTCAGTACCCAGGCAACCCCCTCGGGTCCCCTCCCACTGTGGGAGCTTTTCTGTACTCTCAATAAATCCTGCCCCCCCCCAAAATTCAATACCCCTCACCACCCCCTCCAATAGCAAATTGAACTCAATAAAAGTAAAAGCCACAAGATAGCTCACAGTTAAGAAAAAATCACTATCAACAAAAATCGAGTATTCACACAAAATCAATCAATGACTCAAACCACTACTATAAAATGTACAAGACAAAGGATTCACCCTATCTCAATGAAAATGATTTCAGTAAAAGGAAATCAAAACAGGAAATGTATGGGAAAGAATGTTCCAGCTAGGCAGGGTACTATGGTCACACCTGTGATCCAGCATTTTAGGAGGCTGAGGTGGAGGGGATTACTTGAGGCTGGGCAACATAGCAAGATCTCGTCTCTGCAAAAAAAATTTAAAAATTAGCCAGGCGTGGTAGCACATGCCTGTAGTCCCAGCTACTCAGGAGGTCGAGGTGAAAGGATTCCCTGAACCCAGGAGGTTGACGTGGCTTGGCAACCAGGCTGGGACGCCTGAATGTTCCAGCTGCTTTTAATACGTTTTCATACTGCCAGCTCCTGGTATGTGATGTGTACGTGCCAAGACTCCACAACAAGTATGTTCTGTACACTCTGAAATTCAGGCCATCTTGCAAAGAGTAGAAGCAAAGCATCTGTGTTAATACTGGAAATGCCTGTGCTACTTTTTTGATGGCCAAAGGCTCTTGCTTAAAGATCACTGTCCTTCTGATATGATCTTTGTCAATATACGCAAAAGTACCATCTTTTGAAATCCTCTGCCCAAAGGAGCATTACCATTCTAAAGAATTCCAGAATCATGTATCCACAAATCTGATCACAGATTGTTTTCTGCCACGTATGAGAAATGGTTTAACTGAGCTACACTACAAACAAAAAAAGTTGGTATAATTCCTATGAAAATATCTGTTGACTGTGCCTCAGGGCCCAAACGTTTGCCCAGCCAATAACGCCTGCGTCAGGATATCCCCACACCTCTCCAACTACGGCAATTCCTACCGTCCTCCTTTTCAGGTCAACACTGGAGTCACTTCAATCCACTAAGCATTTCAGCTTCCTCGACATGTCAGGGAGCAGGCTAGGCTCTAAGGGTACACAGAGAGAACGTCTCTGATTTGAAAGTGGTTTAGTGTGAATGTGTCCCCCAGAAAGCATGTGTTGGCAACGGAATCCCCAGTGCAACAGCGTCACGGGGTGGGACCTCAGATTAGACCATGAAGGCTCTGTTCTCGTAGATGGATTAATGCTGATTATAAAAGGGCTTGAGGTGCAATTTGGATCCCTTGTTGGCTTTTGCCTTCTCTTGTCCTCCCTCCTTTCGCCATGGGATGACACTTAAGAAAGCCTTTGCCAGAGGCCAATGCCATGTTCTTAGACTTCCCAGCATCCAGAAGCGTAAGCCAAATAACTTCTGTTTATAAATTAACCAGTCTCAGATATTCTGTGACGGCAGCATAAACAAACAGTTTCCAATCCTTCCCTCGAGGAATTTAACATTTATTATTATTTTTTTAATTTCGAGTCTCTCTCTGTCGCCCAGGGTGGGGTGCAGTGGCATGATCACAGCTCACCACAGCCTCGACCTCCTGGGCGCAGGTGATCCTTTCATATCAGCCTCCCCAGTAACTGGGACTACAGGCACATGCCACCACGCCTGGTTAGTTCTTAAAAATTTTTTTGTAGAGATGAGGTCTCGCTATGTCACCCAGGCTGGTCTCAAACTCCTGAGCTCAAGCAGTCCTCCTACCTTGGCCTCCCAAAGTGCTGGGATTACAGGTGTGAGCCACTATGTCCAGCCAGAAGCTAACATTTAAAAGGGGAAACAAGACTATTCCCAATTGCTAAAAGGTGGGGGCAATCCAAACATCCATCCGGGAATGAATGGATAAGCAACATGTGGTCTGTCCACACAGCAGAACATCACTGAGCCTAAAAAGGAAGGGGGGACCTCTTAAGGACAATGTGCTGCGTGAAATCAGCCGGGCACAAAAGGAAATGTCTTGCATGATTCAACTGATGTCAGATACCTAGAGGAGTGAAATCAGAGACAGAAAGTAGACAAGTAGCCGGGCTCGGTGGCTCAGCCTGTAATCCCACGCCTTTGGGAGGCTGAGGTGAGTGGATTAACTGGGCCCGAGGGTTCGAGACCCGCCTGGGCAACTTGGCGAGACCTCATCTCTACAATAAATCAAAAAATTAGCCAGGCGTGGTAGTGCGCGCCTGTAGTTC